AACAGTCAAGCTTTAGTGCATCTCCAGTAAAGAAGGTTTGTTAAGCATGGTTGCTGATGCGGAATTTGATTAGATCATTATTTTTACGTACATGCATGACACAGGTATCTTGTGGATTTTCAGAAGCTCTTACAAACTTGCAAAGGATGTGCAAGCAGTGCTCAATTCTTGTACGGTGCTGCAATGGATCCTGGGATTCAACATTGGGAACAAGCACTTCTTCAATTGTTGTCACCCCCAGGCAATAGCTTGGGTTGCATTTGCGACTGGACCAGCCCTGTGACAGATGCTGGAAGAGCAGGGTGTTTTTCTAAGACTATGCGCAAAAACACCCTCAGTTTAAGTCCCTCTAGTATGAATCATAAGCGTTGTCCTCAATGGACATGTGGAACTGTTGCATTCTGTCCAGCTGGGCTACCTTTTTTGCTCCCTTAAAATATTTGGTAATACAGCTGCAATTAATAGAATGCTGTGCATGAGTTAAGACAGTATTCATGGTCTCGACACAATCCCTGCGCATGCTCTTCAGGTTTGCAGACAGAGGTGTTTAACGATGTCGTTTCAAAACCAATCCAGTCTTTTAAGGTATGCTTTCAGTGGCGTAACCTATTTGGCCTTCCTATTAAAGGATCTGGGGTGGGGTGGGGGGAAGCATAGAAGGAAAGGAAGTGAGCTTTCAGAATGATTAAGTGAATTAGAAATTAATCCATACCACCCAGCTAATCTCTATAGTATATACTGAACCCAAAAGAAAAATTCTTTGCAAGCAGGAAATGCCAGTCATGGGAACGAGAGAAGCAGTTAGTGCTGATATTGGACAGGGGCTTGGACCGGAGTGGGGGGAGGGGTTGAAATCAAACGCCTTTTTGAGGGGTCCCTAAGAGACGGTGTCAACTGCCAAGCCCAGGACTGTGTTAATAAGGAACACTTTAAGAATGTATTTAGGTTCCCCCCTCCTTTTTTTCTCTAGAAAATGTTCTGAGTTAGACTTTGTTTGTACTGGACCACTTTGAAGACTTTAAAAAATTTGAACTCCGACATACTTCATACATTTTAACAAGGTTTAAATTCAAACCGGTCCAAGGACTTTTTTCACCAAGGCTTCTAACAACTTTGAGTCTAAACACTGCCTCCTTTGAGGGTTTCAGCACAGAGGCTTGGTTTATTAAAAATGTATTTATTGAACATGAGTCACCAAAAAAAGGCACAGGACAGAATCCTAGATATCCAATGTCTAGCATGAAATAATGTTTTGGGGGGGCTTTTATTCCTCCAGGATTTTCTTGTCTCTCTTTATTCTGTGCAACAGAGAGCGGGCAGAACCACGCCTTACATTTGAAAAGTTCATGCATTCCAAAGTTATCAGCCTTTCTTCTCAAACTCATCCGCCCTTTCCCATTTTGAATTATATTAAATCATAGATGGGAGTAGATAATTCTGCATATACACTCTAGGATAAAAGAATAATGGTTTATGTTACAGACAGATGTCCCATGTTAGACACTTTCTATGTTATTACAGTATTAATGTTTCATGTCAAGTTTTCCTTAGGTCTTTTGCGCAGAACGCTCCCAGTCCATTCTTACTGCATAGTAGGGTTGTTGTATTGTAGATGCCTAGATGGCATCCCCCCCGAATTCCTGAAGGAAAATACAAACTGGTGGGCATCCTTCCTAGCGCACCTATTTACTTACATCGATAGAACAGGGAGGGTCCCAAGTGACTGGGGGGAGGCGGTGGTTGTTCCTTTTCATAAAAAGGGTAATCAAAAGGATCCTGCAAACTACAGGCCTATTAGTTTACTTAGCGTCATTAGCAAACGATATGCTGGAGCAAGAGGATATAATGATTCAGGAGCAAGCTGGGTTTAGGCAGGGTAGGTCAACAATGGACCACTGCCTCCTTCTACAGCATCTGATCGAAAAATATTCGGGCAAGGGCCCCATGTAACTTTATGCTGCCTTTATTGATCTCAAAGCGGCTTTCGATTCTGTTTCTAGGTCTAAGCTATGGAGTAAACTTGAAGCCTCCTCAATAGATAGGAGACTTCTAGCCCTCATTCGTGCCCTCCACGAACATACATCTTTGAGGGTTAGATATTCCAGGCTGGGGCACTTGACTGATAGAATTCCCACCTTAAAGGGAGTTAGGCAAGGCTGTATGCTAGCTCCTGCTCTATTTAATTTTTACCTCAATGATGTTGTTGGGTACCTAGATGATGCAGATCTTCATCCCCCCAAATTGGCTCAGCGCTCTATCACGATACTGTTATATGCTGATGACGCTGTTATCCTTTCTAGAACCCCAATTGGAATGAGAAGGGCAATTAAGAAGTTCGCTTGCTATTGCAATGAGCAGGAGCTGGATATAAATTATACAAAGACAAAGGTGATGGCCTTTGGCAAGAGACCCAAACTAAGGAAGTGGAGGGTAAATGGGCAGAACCTCGAACAGGTAGCTAGTTTTCGCTATCTGGGCATGATCATCCAAGCCTCTGGATCTAGGACTGCCCATAGCCAGGCAGCTGCTTGCTCGGGTGAAAAATCCTCTCATGGCATTCTTAAGTTTTTTAGCTCCCAAGGGGGCTATTTTGTACCACCAGCTTTAAAACTTTACAAGGCCAAAACACTTGCCCAGATGCTCTACGGAACGCTGCTTGGAGCGCCTCCATCTAGCTATGCTCCTTTGGAGCTAGTCCAATCGAAATTTTTGAGAGCAGTGCTCCAAGTTCCGAGATGCGTATCCAACGCAATGGTACGGCTAGAGACTGGCATGCTGAAGGTTGAAGCCATGATTGCCTTATACTCCATCTTCTATTGGCTGAAGATCAATTTGAACCCATGTGGACTAGTGCCCCTGATTCTGTCTGATGCCTTTGAATCTAATTGGCTGATTTCTGTTAAGCGGAAAATCTCGCTCTTGGGGTATTCTCCCTTAGCGCTTTTGGAGATGGGTAGGGACCGAGCTAAGTTAGAAATAAGACAGAGGATCAAGGATACCGAACGTCAATTAGATCTACAGGTGTCCCCAACATTTATAGCGCCAATTAGAATTAAATACATCGTTGCGCAGGCCCCATATCTTAACGTTTTGGAGTCACGTAAACTTAGGAGGGCATATACTCTGGCCAGATGCTCGGCCTTACCCTCTGCAGTTCTTGAGGGTAAATTTAAAAAAATACCCCGAACAGAGAGGCTATGCTTGTGTGCGTTGGGGGAGATTGAATCTCAGGAACATGTGTTCCTAAGATGCCCGGTATTTGAAGAGGCTCGTACTAAACTTATTAATCCCCTTCTGGCAGGCACTTCAGATCAGGACAAGGTGGAGAACTTGTTTCTTAACCTTGAACACACAGCGCTCTATCAGATTGCGAAATTTTGTTCCTTGGTGGTAGAAGCGCATCAGCATGATGGTTGGCACTCGGGTTAGGACTGTTGATTTTAACTCATACCGTTCCCTTTGGTAATATGTTTTATTCTTTTATACTATACTGTGTTTTATGGCAGCGCACTCTTAGTTCGGTTTTAACAAATGTAAAGTTTATATTGTTAGTACCTTTTACCTTGCTGAATTTTGGAAATTTTACTATTTGGCCATTGTAATTTATTTTTTCTGGTTTTATATTGCTGGCTAATCGCTGTTACAATAAAATTCAAATATATTCATTCTATACACTCCATGCTGGTTCAGGAGTGTATAGAACAGATCCTGCCTCTGGCAAGCCTACTGCATAGTCAGAGCCACTGTGCCCCGCCCTTTTCATGTCTCTGTTTTTTGTTAGTGTGATACATTTTTCCAGGCATGAGGTACTCCTACAAGTGATTCCCATATCTGGACGTATGTGAGAACATGTTTTAATTGCAAGACCTGTTTGTAAAGGATCAGATTGAACGTAGAAAACACTTGCATATTAAGATTCCAAGTGTTAAAAACATAGGAAATACCTCTGGAAAAAGCAAGCTGTGAAACTGGTTACATTTATATCCTGCTTTGGCAGGGTGCTCAGAGCTGCATCATGTTTGATTTCCCCCCCAGGCAGTCTCTTCTCCAGGGAGTCACCAGGCTAACTTCGCGTTAGCTTTAACAGAGTGTTAGAATGTCCCATGCAGGGCTATAGCTGGTCCTTAACGTTTTCAGGTAGGGCCAGACTGTCTCTAGGCAACTTTTGTTGGGGGAGGATGCTGACACTACAGCTGAGGAAGCTTAGTCCTCAAACATCTTAGCTAGGGAAGATTCAGCCTGAAGAAGTTGTTGGCCATTCTTTCATTAAATTTTCCTTACCCCTCCTTTAAACAACTTGACCATATTCACAGACATGGCACTGAGGGAGATTAAAAAAAAAAGAAAGGAAGAAAGAAAGAAAGAAATCCAAAAATGTAACGGCAATGAAGCTAACATTCTTTAAATGTCCTGTCAGAAATTTGAGTCCTGCTTGGCAGGGGTGGGGAGATAAATTCTTATAATAAGCAAAAAGTATGACACGTTTGCTCAGTGTAGATGTATGCAGAAGATCCCCAGTTCTATCCCTGGCATCTCCTGGTCAACGATCTCAGAGAGCAGACCCTAGATAGCTGATGCAGGTCCCAGCAATTAGCTAGATGGACCAGTAGTCTCATGTGGCATTAGGCAATGTCATTTGTTCATAAAACATTAACCATGGGTTAACACAAATCATGGTTTGTAAACCATGGTAGTAAATCCTGGTTTTCAGGCATAACTGACATATTCTGATGTAATGCTTATCAAAGGTTCAGTGTTATGTCTGCATTGAGCAGCTGTTAGAAAGAACGGTTGCTTGTGTTTAAAAGAAGAATTCAAAAAGAAATTTTAAAAACACTGTGCCTGTGCTCTTAATTTGCCGCCCAGTCCATTCAAATTGGCCAGCATTGTTTGAAACTGGTCTTCACGAATCTAAAGCTTCAGGAGGTCTGCCAACTAAATACTCCACGGCCCTACTTACGTTGAGTTTCTTTGTCTTTCATCCTTCTTCCTCCCCCCAGAATTCTTCAGAGAACTTCTTGAGAATGCAGAGAAATCCTTGAACGACATGTTCGTAAGGACTTATGGCCTCCTGTACATGCAGAACTCAGAAATGTTTAAGGACCTCTTTGTGGAGCTGAAGAAATACTACACAGATGGAAATGTCAACTTGGAGGAAATGCTCAATGACTTCTGGGCCCGTCTCCTGGAGCGCATGTTCCGCCTAGTCAACCCCCAGTACCATTTCTCTGATGAGTACCTGGAATGTGTCAGCAAGTACACGGAGCAGCTGAAGCCATTTGGTGATGTTCCACGGAAGCTGAAATGGCAGGTGACCCGAGCATTTGTGATAGCTCGCACCTTTGTACAAGGCCTGGCTGCGGCGAGAGATGTCGTTGCCAAAGTATCAGCGGTGAGTTCAAATGTCATTGTTTGGTTTGTACAACCTGGGGTGGTGAAGCCATGTGGTCCATGAGGAAACCATGTACTTTGTGTGTCTAGTTAGGGACAGGCTCTTGGATGAGTGATACAAATGCTGGATGCATTTCAGTAGACCTCTTTGAAAAAATCCAGTAACCCACACATGCAGTCAGTTGCATGAGATGTTCTCATAAAATACTGGTCTTTCCCATTATCTATGAGTGTGCCCCAGTCGTAGAATCTATCCCTCCACTAAACAGACATGCAAGCCTGGTGTAGGAACTTCTTCAGTAGTTAGGACCCTTCCCACTCCACTTTGTCTAGTGCAGTTTTCACCCTTTGTTCCCATTTTGGAACAAACTGTGGTGCAGCACTACATCTGCACTGATGTGAATGTGAACCCTGCAGGAACCCGAGGTTGGCCTCAGAAGGTGAAGCCTTTACACAGCTTGTCTTGTGTACAGCCAAAGCCACCTAAAGTTATTGTGATTTTAGAGGAAAAATAAGGACTTGCTTCAGCCTTGCCCAACTGGTGTTCTTTCTTTATCCCCTGATTTCTTGGCCTTCAGACTGAATCTCCCTTTCTCATCCTGGGTGCCATGGATGTTGGAGGTCTCCAATTGTTCATTCCTTCCATTTATTCCTCTATTCCGTTTTTTATTCTGCCTTTCCTCCAAGGAGTGCATGGCAGCATATATGGTTGGGTGGACTGTGAGTGTGTCTGGCCTAAGAGACTCACCTATTGAGCAGGAATCAGAATTTGTCCAGCACTCTGAAGTCTGCAGTTGGGAGAGGGGCTGCAACTCATTGGTCACACATTTACTTTGCTTCAGTGCAATCTTAGGTAGCTAGTACTGGGAAAGACCTTTGTCTGCCTGAATGTTCTGGCTGCTAGGTAGGAGGCAAGTCCCAGCAATCATAGGGTCTCACAGCAGGGGTGCTCAGGTCACAGTCCAGTGTCAAAGACCAGGGTCCAATAACACAACCCAAATGCAAGGTCGGAAGGCAGGCCAAGGTCTCAGTCCAGGGTCAAAGCACGTGTTCCAAAGGCAGGGTCTGAAAGCAATCCAAAGGTCAGGTAACAAGAATCCACAAATCAATCTCAAGCAAGTCAGGCAACTGGTGGAGCCATCAGCAAGGCTAGAGACACATTGATCCCACACTGGCTCTAGCCTCATTGCAGCCTTATATAGGGCATTTCATTGCAGAAGACTGTGGTGGGTCTGGCAGTGGGCAGATCCATGCAGATCCATTCTGGAACCTCTGGCTGAGAGGGTGGCACCCAGGCTAACTCAGGGTCCCTTTGGGGAGTCCCTGAGACACCAAACTCATAGGGATGGTCTGCAAAGGCAGGTCTTGGAGACTGATTGTCCTCCTCCTTCTCTGATGAGTACTCACCTTCCATCCGAAATCAGAGTGGTCCATGACATTGAGGTTCTGGAGAGCCGCTGCCAGTCATAGAATACTGAGCTAGATAAACCATTGGTCTTCAGCTTCATATGTTCTCCACCCTGGCTCTGCCTTCTGCTTCTCTTCTAGCTTCCTCCCTTGACCTTATTGGTCTGGGGACAAAGAAGAGAAACCAACCTCCCTCCCTCCCTCCCTCCCTCCTTCCCGCTACTGAATCCCTGTGCAACTGCATGGCGAAAGCGGGCAGGCCCTATATGCGATAGAAGAGTTTTCTGGGTCCACCCCCTGATGCCCAGTTAATTCAAACCACATTTTTGGTGAGTGTTCTGTGTGTGTGCGCACGCGCGCTTGTGCACCTGGAAGTCATGGTGATTGACCAAAACCACTTTTTCCTCTGGTGAATCCTGCGTGTATTTGCTGTAGATCCAGATCTCTCTGGAATTGTTCCACGAACGTCACACTCTTGATCCAGTGTTTTTTTCTCCCCCCCTTTGGGGGCAAAAAGCATCTCTCTTGATTAGGTTATTTGGTTTCTTTTTCTAAGCATGTTTACATGCTGGCCATGGTCTGTTTTCCATACCTTGATTTCATGAGTCCGTTTTGAATTCGTATTTCCATTGTCTTGCTTGGAACACTTGGGAATGATTTGCAGCATGATGTGTGGAGGGGATTAAAGGCCCTTGTTCTTGCAGGCAAGATTGGGCTGTAATTGAACGCAAATTGTGTAATGTAGGAAGTGACTGTTTGGATGATCCTCTTAAGATGATTGCATATTTAAAAAAAATACCTTGGCGGGAGCAGGCTGGTATAAACAAATTCAGCTGGCTTTGTAGAGTGAAGAATTCAGCAGCTATTAAGGGCACTGGGGGAAGATTTGTTTACCACAGACCTGGTTCGGGGCCAGCCTATACGTCACTGCTAGAGACCTGTGAGCCAGGGGTCTTGCTGTTTTTTATAATGTAAATAGCTGAAGAGGACCCTCAATCAGGGTTGAAGAAAAGGGGGTTCAGCCCTCCACCTTGCCTGTTTCAGTCTTCATAGCTCACGCTCGACCCTCCAGCTGTTATTAGTCTCAAGTCAGAAAAGAAATGCTCATATGTTTTTCCTATGGGGAAATACCCCAGGGCGGGTGATTGGCATAACAAAAAAGAGCTTGGGGAAAATGATGCTGTGTCAGCCTGAATCAGAAATTCCATTCATGGATCTCCTGTCATCACAACCAGTTTGGCCCACATCACCTAGCATGTATGAAATGAATTTGTTCTGGGTTCTTCTGCTGAATATCCTGTTCTTCAGCTTCTCTGGCCAATCTTGCCCACATAACTTTAAAACAAATCCTTGAAGCCAGAGGGTCCTGAAAAATACATAAATTACAACAGTGTTAAGGTAATGGAAACACCAAATGCTTTCTGGAAGAGAGTAGTTTTTGCACATTTCTGGACCCTTAAGATGGTGGGATTCTGATGTACCTCCTGGGGCTTGGAATTCCACAGATTTGGGGGGGGGGGCTACAGCTGAAAAAGCCCTGCTTAGCACACCTGCCAGTCTCATCTCAGTTAATACAGACACACAAGTAAGGACACCAATTCCTAGTCTTAGATCATGGACAAGCTTGTATCATCAAGATGAGAATTGATGGACTAGCATGAATAGTGAGACTGATGACTGAAGAAGGGAAGGATAAGATGAGGATTGATGGACCAGCATGAATAGTCAGTGAGACTGATGACTGAAGAAGGGAAGGAACACTGATGTCCGTGTTCCAAGCCCAGCATGCACATTTCTAGCACCACACTAGCTTCTTTAAGGCCAACAGATGACATTTTAATTGCCAGCGGGACTTCCTAGGTTACTTGTCAGTTTCTTTGCTGGTGCTAAGCCTCCCCAGCTGTTGAAGGCATAGGTGGAAAGCACAAAGGAACTTCCACTACTTTGAAATGTTGAGTGGAGTTAGTTGTCTGGACTATGGTTTTTGATGTAGCAAAGTCTTAACTTGAGAATGGGTTTGAGAGAAGAGAAGAACTGCTGGGGAGGTATTCTTAGGCTAAGCTTACGTTTAGTTAGATGAGTTTTTAAAAATCACAGGCCAATATGTGCCTCACAAATTAAATCTTAGTGAATCCTAGGTAATCTGCAAACATAGGTGAAATTTATTTAACCTGCCGTTTCTCACCCCTTCTCCATCTTTTTCAATTGGTGTGGCTTTTTAGCAGTCTTTCTTACCACTTTGTAATTTCTTGATTATGAGAACTATTTCCTATATATTCTGTCCCCCTCCCTTATTTCCTCTCCGAAAATTGCACAAGGTGGGGTGGGGATTCGGGCTATTATTGAACCCTTGACAGACATTAAAATCAACGGGTTTAAATTGCTGCCAAACGTGAACATTTCCTGCCCGAACCTCGAGGGCATTTTATTAAAAAAAAAGAAAGGGGGGGGGTATATAAGCCAGATCCCAAAGTGACTCAAGGAGGAGTGCAACTTGATACTTTGCAATTCAGAAATTTCCGTTTAATGAAGAACATATGGCACAAATGATGTGTCCTTCAAAATTAGACCTGAGCCGCAAAGATTTTGTTCCACATTCCATGTACATTTCTGCGGCATTGAAACATGTCCCTCCTCTCCCTTTCATCAGTTTTTTTGGTATTTGCTTTGAAAAGGTTCAGAAGTGGTGGCCTGTCCAAGAAGCATTCTCCTAACCCAACGATGTCATCATATTGCCAATCCTGAGTGGCTACATAGAGTTGTGACATCATCATCCCCTACAGAGGATCTTTGCATGTACAGTGAACAAATGATTTGTATGGCACGGTCCTTAGAAATTGAGATCATCACCTCAGAACATAAACCAAGAGACAAGATTTTAAGCTGTTTATATTCTGACTCTCCAGGCATGATTGCCTTCCCAATTTTTGGAGGGACTGGAAAACTTCAGTCAGGAAGTCTGGCAGAAGCCAGCATCACTGCAGCCCACTTCCACAAGGGTTGAAGACTTTCATAGGATTAAAAAGGGGCCTTTGAACTATCTTACAACGCATCCGCCACCTTCGTCATTAGTGACAGAGGAGATGCAGCCCAAGGATAAACAGACAGCAGAGTCTTTAGGCGTGTCTCAACATGCTATAACCCACTACAAGCAGAGACCCTTTACACAACAATCCTGGCACCCATATCAGAGGGAGTACCGATATTCCAACACTCCCGAGGCCCACTATCCTGTGCTTAAGCCATATATGCCAGAACAAAGCTACCAGAAGTGCAAGGGTTCCAACTGGTCTAGGTCTTCTATCCAATTACTTCCTCCCAGAGAAGCATCCCAGTCACAGAAACCAACATTCTGACTAGGATGGGTATACGATACGCCTATCAAATTTGGTGATAGACTAGCACAGTTTTATGCTGCCTGGGAACCCATCACCTCTGACAGGTGAGTTCTGGCAATAGTAAAGTGGGTTATGGGTTAGAGTTCAAAGAATTATCCCCATGTTCCCCCACATTGGGAGCATCTAAGCAGGCAGATCCTGACCTGTTGCAGGCATTAAGTGCTTTGATTGAAAAGGGTGCTATTGAGGAGCTTCC